AAAGTCCAAAACCTGACTAGAAATAACCTAACAAATCAATCGGGGCTAAAGCGGTTCCATAAACGACAAATTAAGTTCACACAATCTCACTAATTTGTGCACGCTTATTCTTAAGCAGCCCTGACTGTTGATCATGGATCAAATCGATCCACCATGACAAACAGCGAATATATCTGTGCTGTTTAATGCTTTTGAGACGTTGTGTTTTCCTCACTGCACAACTGACATGTCACAGGTATATTTTAATCTGTAAATGTTAGAAAGTCATGCAAATATATCCATTTTGCTGTCAGGAGTGGGCGAGGTTGACGCGAGTGAACGAGCATGCACACTAAACAGATGGCGCGCATCGAACAGAAGCGCATTCTGAGTAAAAAATAAATTTTGCTAAAATATTTGTTGTTAGACATTAAATGTGCCTTTTGTAGAATTTTAAACCTTCATATAAGTGTATTTTTATGATAGCAGTAACTGGAGTGGACTATTGTAATAGGTAAATCAAATGTAAGCTAGTAGGCTACAGTACTAATTACTAAACTAAGAGTTAATTTAATAAAGTTTCTTATAGCAGTTAAAATGTAGTCATTTTCATTAACTTAAATGATTTTAGCAAATGGCTGCAATATAACAAAGAGTGAAAAATTTAATTAAGGGGGGATACTTTCCGTGCCCACTGTATATATACATATATTTCTCGATTGTCCCAGATAAGGATCCTCTGCATTCTGTTTTTTTTTTTTTTGGCATTTATTTTGTGGCATCTTCTTCACATGTAATATTTATTTATTTTTATCTGTGATAAAATAGATGTTGCAGACATGCCCATGTTTAGATGTAGGGATCCACATCTTCGCAACTTGTATGCTTCTCTTGTTTTGGCGTCTTTTTCACAGGTTGGCATATAAGCAAACAGTCATTTCTGTGTTTTAGTCTGAAATGCAAAAGCAACAACTGATTTTCTGCACGTTTTTCATTATAGAAAAAAAGACAAATTTATCAAATATTTCTTCCGTTTTACTTTTTACCAGGGTTAATTATCCCCCCAGGACTGGGTGGAATCTCCTTGCTAACTGTATCTATAAAATTGTGTTTTTCAGTACTGTATAGTGGCACGCAGACCTGACAAATTATTAATGAGATTCGTGCAGTCCTATGTAAAATGCAACATAGGATAATATTGGAGGCACTGTAACCTGTCCTATGTGAGAGGTTCAGCAGAAGATTCAGGGATTCATTCAGTTTAGGCCAGTCAACGCTTCATTTATAATTCACAGCTCAGGCCTTTATTAATGAGGCTTCATCCATGGGAAAGAAACTTTGCAGGCCTACACTTTGTCTCCAGACACATTTTGATGATATGATGCCTAATATTCCCTGCCATGTGGAACATTCCCTCAGTATGTGTCTCGTATATTGACTTGGTCCACATCCATTAGCATAGAAGAGCATGTCAAGCCTGTGTGTATCTTTTCATCTGATCAGGTTGCCTTCTCTCTTTGTGTCTTTGTTTCTAGCTTCCTTTTAACCAATAGGCGTGTCACCCAAGAGCGACATTCCGCTACTCTTTCCACTGCCCTTCTCTCTTTCACGTCTCTTCCGACATCAGTTTCTCCTCACAAAGGTCTTCTTTCTTCCATGCGCGATGGAGACGGCAGCATCTTGAGACGCCCACACTCAGCATCGCTGTTTTGGTCGAATCATAAAATTCCCCCAAAGCCGAACAATGGAAAACAATGAGGCACCTGCTAAATAATGAGCCATCAGTCAGCCGTGATGAGCCACGCAGGCATGATGGCTCGCTTTAAAGTGGCCTGTGATGAATGTACAACAACACCTGAAATCCCCTCCAATGGAATTCCCCCTCTCACAAACACACAGTGTGTTCGGCAGTCCAAATATGCCCTTATTTTTCCCCATATTTTCCTTGTGTTGTGAGATCAGAGAGTCACAGGCTTTTGTCTGTGAACTTGAAGGCAGAGCCGTGCTGCAGTTTCACTTGTACTCATCATTGTCACTATCACCATCAGCGGTTTCAGTCCTTGCATGCACCACGTCACATGAATGTGGGGAGAAGCTCTGCCTGGCTGAACAATAGGCCAGCTGTTTGCGCTCGGCTAAGCTACGGCGTACGCGCGGGGAATTACTCCCAAGTACAAGTCTTCTTTCAGTCTTTCTTCCGTTCTCCAAAGGTTAAAATAATCCCATCCTTCAGAATGCTGCCACAAAGCAGCCTCACTTAGCTCAGCCAATGGCCAGAGCAAAGCCAACATCAACATCATGTTGGATATGAAATGAGTTTTGGATGCCAGACAGAGGGTAAGGGGTGATTGACTGTGGGTATTCGGTGTTGTTTAGTTGCCCTTTTCATGCCTTACACTGTAATATCAGCTCTTTCACAGTGGCGACTCTCTCCTAGATTCCCTATAGAGGTGACCCTCGTTGATCCCTGATCCCCAAGCCAGTACTAGGTAGAACCACGGCACAAATGGAAGCTTTGTGGGCTTGAATGTACGCTAGTGCTCAAGGAGTCAAGGGGTCAATGTGGAGGAGAAGGAGGGAGGTGGAGAGTGACAAACCTTAGGTTGTTTCCCTGTGGAGTAAAAGGTGTTTCCTTCGATGTTAGAACATGATGGTTGGGAATGAACTTTTTGTATAATTATTCATTTTAGATTCAGAATCGAGCTTTAAAACACAAATCAAATTGTATTTAGTGTTGTTTTTTTTTTAATGTCTGTAGTAGCTTAGGTGTGCAGACGTTGGAGAAATGCCGGATTAATGAACTTTCTGTTCATTGGGCCACTCAAGCATGCTTTCATGTTCCCAAACCTTTTTACACAGGCCTGTAATCCTTCTCTGAGAGTTCACAGGCCTTGTGTAGGTCAATTCTAGGGCTAAAATTTCAACCAGCATTTAAATGTGACATAAAAGGGGGAACAATGATCAGTTTTAGTTTTGTTTAGATTCTTTCAAGCCTGTTTACTTTTTGTCTCACATGCACTCAAAGTGTAAATGCTGCTCCTCAGTAAGTGCAATTAATAAAACACTATGAAAACAGTTTCTGTAATAATAAGTTGCATGTTTTTCACATTTTCAGAATAATAAAAAGTATTTTAAAAATATACAATAGCGTTTAAAAGTTTGGGGTTGGTACAATTTTTTAAAATTATTTTTTGATAGAAGTCTCTTATGCTCACCAAGGCTGTGTTTATTTGATCAAAAATACTGAAAAGACAGCAATATTGTGAAATATTATTACAATTTAAAATATCTTTTTTCTGTTTTAATATATTTTAAAATGTACTTTATTTCTGTGATGGCAAAGCTGAATTTTCCCAGTCATTACTCCAGTCTTCGTCAGAGTCACATGATCCTTCAGAATCAGAAATCATTCTAATAGTGTATGCTGATTTGATGCTCAAGAAACATTTCTTAGTATTATCAATGCTGAAAGCAATTGTGGAAACTTCTTTTGATGTTCAAAAGAAATGTTTGTAACAATGTAAAAGCGTTTACTGTAATTTTATCAATTTAATGCATCATTGCTTAATAAAAGTATTAATTTCTTTCTAGAAATGTACTGTTATATATAAATTAGTTTTTGTTTAAAAAAAATCATGCAATTGATTATCACAGAAAGAGCGTTCTGTTGCAGTTGCTGAGGAACAGCGTATAGATTTCAAGTGCATGTGAACCAAGTAGAACCATATGTGGACTTCTGAAATTATAAGCATTTTTACCCATAATAATGACCATTTTAATGACAAATCATGCCAATTATGTGTCTATATGTTGTTCTGCATTTGATTTAGTCGCCATAAATCTTTTGACACCTGTTAACCTCAGATGGTGTTTACAGATTGTATCGTATGTTTTGTCATGTGAGATGGTTTGAGGTGTTTTCTTAACTTGTGTGTGTGGCTTCACGAGTTTGCCTGCAGCGTATATATGGTGTCATTAACATTCCAGCAGTCATGGCGGCACCGTTAACACTCCGCTACATGATGAGACAGCTCTGCCTGTACCTCTCAACCTGCTGCACTTTCTTTCCCAAAGTCCCTCGTACTTTTCTCGCACCCGAACACCCACCTACACAAACAAATACATGTATATACATACCAACCTCAATAACTAAGAGACTAAAACCAGAATATTTATTTTTGTTACATGTGGGTGTCAGTTCTGACTCCTATCATTCTTGTGCTGTCATTTTGAGGACTTCTACAAACATGTCATTTTTCACGCCACTTTATCTGCCTTTCTTGACAGATGCAAGACAGGAACACTTCAGGTAATTATCTGTGTTATGCGGTATGTTTTGGAAAGCCTTTGTTTTGCAGTATTGAACTAGGATTCGGCTGAAACGCCCCAGACCATTGGTAGGTGCGGTGGCCTGGCTCTATTTTAGTGCCGGGTGTTTTGCATCTATACCTCTAGGGCTCAGAAAAGGCAGTCCAGGGGACCCACTCAGATGTAATCAGTCTCTGTGCCTACATGTTGTGCAGTGAGAGCCCTTTTGCCTCCGAGCCAAGAATGTACTAAGAATGACAAATATTGAAACCATGGAGCGCAGTCATTACATTTATGTGCGTGTTACCTGGTTTGTATATATAAATATATGCTGATTCTATCATAATTTGTTGATCAATATCTCTGTGTGAGGTTTCAGGCATTGTGCTCTCATTGTCTTAACCAAGCACTTTTTTCAGGCTTTGCAGAACACTGCATAGAACTGCAAGACTGCTTCCTCTGTCTTGTAATCATAACTTCAAAAAAAAAAAAAAAAGTATATTCTTTTAAATACATGCAACAGTGGGACTGTCAGTGAACAATCTGTGTTATAGTTTTGACACTGTTAAAAGCAACTTCTTCAAAAGGATGCAAAGTAAGAATTTATTTTAAAGTTACAAAATATTTAAGAAAGAATATTTTTATTTTACATAATCTGTACAGAGATGATATCCATTTAACTAAGTGACTTTGTAATAACAGCTAAGTAATAAATCTTATTAAATAGTAGACTGGAAAATTAAAGACAAGGAAGAGATTGTGTTCATCAGTTTTCTGTACATAGTATAAAAAATTAGACAGAGCTACAAATGGAATCCATAATGTTGTACCCTGATTATTAGGCCTCTTGAGAAGTATCAATAATTATTTTACAAATATTGGAATGGCCTTGCCACCTTATTGTAATAGCTAAAATATTGGCCTCTTTGGTACAATTCATTAGGTACAATACACAAAATTCAGTTTTACTACAAAAATATCATTTTCAATGGCAGATGTTTTTTTTTTTGTCTTTTAACTAATCCCGCAACTTTTCAGTGCAAACATCGTAACAATCATCCGCTTTGGAAAGCAAGCGAAAGATCACATTTCAAGTATTGATAAAGAGTTAAAGACAATCAGAAAGAAGAATTCTGTTTTTTTTTTTTACATAGTTCAGGATTACTATACATTGCATAGTTCGTGCGGCACTTTATATTAAAAGGACTATGGGCAAGGGTAGGTCCACCTCTATGTACCCTTTTGAAGGCTTTGCAATATGCAAGTGCTTTAAATTGTGCATTTCGAGAGTTTTCGCAAGTGCTGTACTCCCTGTAAACCAGCTGGACAGAATGGAAGCGGCTCCGCGGAACGCACACCGCTCGAGCATTTGTCAGCCACTGAAGTGTGCAGATGAAGGAAGCGGTGAAGTTTGCGCTGTACCGGTTAGACCTCAAGATCTAGTTATGCGGTCTGCTACAATCAAGATGTGCACATATTAGCAGAATGGCAGAAGTGGTTTTAGTTTCAAGATGATCTTGTCCAGAGGTGCTTACAGTTTGAGTAGAAGCCTCACAACAGATTTAACAATGCCGCAGACAACCGTGGGAATTACTGTGGGAATGCCTCTGGGGAACGACTGGGAAGATGACACACTGATTTGGAAATCTCCACATCAGCAGGAATGATTTGTCGTATTGTCTTAAACAAGCTGTTGAAGTGCTGGTGTTCTGAAGTAGGAGATATGTCAGTGCTTGTACAACAGTCTCTAAGTACTTATGTCAAAGTGTGATACCAGGTTGTCTCCTTTTTGCTGTTGGAGAGGAAAGTATTGAGACATTTTTTTTAAGTCTAGAAATGGCAAACTAGAGAAAAACCATGTGGTGTTCCCTTTCCCTTACCATCCCAAAGCCTTTTTGTACTAACGTGTGTGTGATTGTTCTTTGTGAGTGCACAAATATTAACACAATTTATATGCATGTGGTTCAAAAAGACCATAAATATGACTGTCACTGCCTTCGTAACATGTCCTAACGTGGATTTTTCCGTTCAGGCACAGCCACACTCCTCCACGATCATGTTAGGCACGTCACGCTTGACGATGTTGTATTCGTCATCGAAGTAGAGCATGGACATGGTGCTGAGTTTGGTGGGTATGCAGCAGGAGTTGACTGAACCAGGACTCATGCCTCTCATGCGGTACTGGTTTACTACTGCCGTGTGAAATGATGAGGCAGAGCCCGGAACTCCTGCCAAGTAAGCTGGGCAGCTGCCTTCACAGTAGTTCCCATAGTACCCTGCTGGCGCGATGATCCAGTCGTTCCAGCCAATGAGCCGGAAGTCAATGTAAAACTGCTGTCGGCAGCACAAACCACCATGGGTGCCGTCACACTCCAGGCCCCGCTTTCGGATACGGTGTTTCCCGTCTGCCTGCTGGGCGCGGACCACCAGGAAGGGTCGGTGTGAGGGATCGTTTGGGTCCACCAGGATGGGCTGAACGTTGGCAGCCTCGCAGCCATCGCAGTGAATGTCGAGGTCTTGTCGGCGACCCCCTTTTGCCAGCATTTCCCGTACGGCCTCGGACACAGGGAAGGTGTGCCAGCCACTGCGCTTCAACTCCACACGTTTTTCCATCATGGGCCAGTGCACGTTCTGCCCTCCAGGCTCATAGTAGTGCACTCTCACCGTCACCTTCCGCCGCAGTCCTTTCTCCTGAGTACCTGGCAACAGCTTGAAGTACAGCCACAGGTTTGCATGCAACACGTAGAGGTTCTGATTCCCCTCATTGGAAATCAAGAAGTAGAGGCTGGACTTCGATGGAGTCACATCATCTGTAAGAGACCACAGAAGTTTGTTAATTCTCAAGTAGCAACTCTTTCTTACAAAAGAAGCTAATTTATGTCTTTTCTCACATTTGAAATAGCACAAACAGGTTGTGATTCTGCTGACGAATACCTTTCCTTAGCCACATTCACTGACATAAACCACTTAACTTTTCCAGATGCCACAGTTCTGGGCCCAAGTCCAGTTGGACTCATGGTTTGGGCTGAAGATGCTGGGCCGTGTGGAAGGGTGGGGGGGGTCGGACATGGGCCTTGCCCCAGGGGGTTCATTGAGTTCACAGGGAGGGAGTACTGTGAAAACCCAGAGCTTCTGGAGCCGAAAGACTGACAACACAATGCACTGCGAGAGGTATTAAGAGACTGCTGTGGCACAGCCCAGCATTGAGCGTGTGCCCTTCAAATGAGAAGCATGATGAGGCATTTACATCACACTGGCGACTTTCTAAATACAGTTGTGTAGCGAATTGTATTTAGAAAGTCCAAGATGCAGAGCTTTTTTGCTGTTGTAATTTGATTGTAAATATTCTTTTGACCACTCAGAAAATGTGAGAAATTCACTTGATGCTGACAGTTGCAAATCAATCATATTCTCCGTAATCCTGATTTGAATGCCAGAGCTGTTTAATATTGGCAGGTTTTGAAATGGTAAAACAACCATGTTTGCCAACAGATTAGTTTGGTTTAATGTCAACAACTTGCCACAAAGGGTGGCTTCTTCAGTTGACAGCCTGACCTCACATGGAGTAGCAGTGACTTTACATGCACTCTCTCTGCTTTTTTGAAAATTAAAAAAAATTATAGACTTGAAAGCATGTTCAACACTACAAACAAATCAGTAATAATTTGCATCATACAGTGTGCTGTCAATTTTCAAAATGTTATAATAGTTATTATTGCTGTATGATATTGTTAGCTAGTGAATCAACCTGCATGGCTTTTCTGGTGAAGGTGTTTGACAAAAAAAAAAATCTGGTTATGCTAGTTAAGACACCTAGTTTTTGACCAGCTTTCAAACACATATGCTGGTGACAAGCAGTGCCGTTTTTTTTTTTTTTAACAAGGCTGTCAAGACTGATTTGCTGGGAGCCAAGCCTTTTATATCCCACAGTGCAGACACACAGTCAAAGTTCATCAGTGACAGAGAATCAAGCCCTGGAGAGGTGTCAGGTGTGAACATGTATGTCCTATGATGATAGGGAACACACTGACTGAACTGATTACTCCACCATTTCACCTCGTTACCTGCCTTTATATGCCCCCTTGATACAAATATACTTGTATGGCCATGTGCTCAGAACATGTCTCAACAGCTCCTGCTTAAAGTGAATCTAGTCAAACAAGGCTTTGTCCACTTCGCACTCTCCAAGGCTGTGCGAGCAGGGAGACGAGATGATGTCAGTGTTGTGGGATATTTTATCCCCATAAATATCAACACTTACCTACATCAGTTTGCCCCATCAGAATTCTTTCAACATATTTGCATAATAACTAATAAATGATTTGTAGAACACTTAAAAATTTGACTATTTTGAGTTTGTTTAGCTTGCTGCTTCTCCTGCATCCTGTGGTTCCCTGTGGCTGTTTAACTTTTATCTTCTCCTCTGAGCAAAGGTATGCAACCTGACAAATATTCATTTCAGCAATGCATTTCATATTTTTGTTTTGGTGTAGGCCCTTAAGACCTAATTCTCCCAAAAAGTTATTTCCCAGACACTGTTGAGAATAAATGGTGAGAGATGTAGAATGTATCTACATGTACACTTTATACAAAGAAAAAAATTTAGCATACAGTCTAGGCATTTTTATTTTGTTGATACTTTTATTTTTTGTCAAACAGAGTACAGGCAAATGAACTTTTGAGAAAATGGGTGTTAGCTTTGTTTCTGTGTTTCATTGAAGATTGCTCTCATGCTTAAAATGCTTAATGTAAACTGCTTGTCGAAGATCAATAAGATCAAGACCATGGCATGCTGCCTGATTAGATTTTGACCGTCTGCCAATCAGTTAGCACTACAGGCTCTAATTTCCTTTTTTGGATCAAATGTCAAAAAACTAAAAAAATCTAAAGAGTTCAATTTGGCTCTTTGACCTTATGGACACTGTGCCACGCTGCATAATGTCTAATAATGAAGTCTTAATACCCCGTGCTGAACTGGTCCTGAAGAGTTCAGTGAGTCCGAATGGTTACGCTGACAAATGAGAAGCAAGCATCTACTGCTCCGCTCCTGTGGCTACGGGACACCAAATACTTCTGAAATGGCCCATAGGACAGTGTCAATAGAGACCTGAAATTGGCAGCCGTCCTCTCCTGTACCTTGGCAGCCCTCTTCTTATTGCTCTCCTAAAGCATGGAGCGAGATCGGAGCCGCCTTCTGACTTGCAGTCATACCGCATAACAGCAGGGAAGAGCATGCAACACGCGAGGCAACCCAATTGCCTGCAGCTGCAGTGATTTGCACATTGCATACCTCACAAATTCCTCTTTTTGTACCTCTGAGCAGAATGGATCTAGGGTTGTTCTAATGCTATGCCCTGGCTGGCAGCCTTCACTTGAGGGGTTAGCGCCAGCTGGCCTTGAGGGAGATGGGGGTTCAGAGAGGCAGTTTCATGATGCATTGCTGCTCAGTGGTTCAAAGGTGTTGTGAATAATAGGGGACACTGCAAAGAGGCCTGATCGAGCTTTGATATTTGAAATGCATTTTCAGAGTAGGATATAAGAAGTCCATCCCCCCACCCCAGCCTCTCTGTCACCCACAACGACTCAAATGTCTCATGCATTATTCTGAGTGATTTCTTTTGTTTTCTTTTGTTGTTTTTGTTCCCAATGTTGACATATTGGGTTTAGCAAGAACGCACAGTACTCTCTCAATAATTGGCATCTTTGTTGCGCTGTCATGAGTGTGTTCAGATCATTCTTATTGGAGCAAGAAGTTCGGATAATGTCCAAGGTAATTGTGCTGCACAGTGTGCGAGAATAGAAGAAAAAGAAGCCAGTTAAGAAGCTTAAATGTCTGTCAAACCGAGATATTGGAAAACTCTTAAAAAAAAAAAAAAAAAAAAAAGTAATTAAAACATTTACATATCTCCAAATCAACTATCCTTCCTGGTAATGAAGATAGATTATGATTGTCTATATAAAAATCTGGGTAACACTTTGGATTAGGGAACACTGTTCACTATTAGCTAGTTGCTTATTAACATGCATATTACTAGCACAGAACCTGTTTATTAGTACTTAAGCACATATTAATGCCTTATTCAGCATGACCATATTCTAGATGTATTTCTTCGTCCTTTTGCTCATGCAAACTTACATTGACACAATTAAAAATGTGCAGAAGGTTTAATCCATGTTTTTCTTTAAAGGGGTCATATGATGCTGCTAAAAAGAACATTTGTGTATTTGGTGTAATGAAATGTGTTTATGCGGTTTAAAGTTAAAAAAACACATTATTTTCCACATACTGTACATTATTGTTTCTCCTCTATGCCCCGCCTTTCTGAAACGCATCGATTTTTACAAAGCTCATTCTTAACTTTTATAAAGAATATCTCTTTGGTTTTGAGACTTTAGTGTTTGCAACTTTACAGATCTTCTTTATGCACCAAGAGCTTGTAACACTCCAAAGAGAAAGGAATAATTGAAATCGCATCATATGACCCCTTTAACACTTAACAAGCTCCATACATTCTCCTGTAAACTGATAGATCTATAATTGATGAACTGGTTAATAAAATGAAATCCAGAAATCTCACTCCCCACCCTTTTTGACCAATGAATTTTCACAACTTACTCTAGCATTCAGGGTTGCTGCATAAGTACTGTAAAAAAAAAATTTTGAATTTACATTCATTATATTTCTATTACTTTTTTCAGACTAGGGCTGTCGCGATTCGTCGATTTTATTAGACTATTTGATTTTTAAAAATCCTCGACTTCATTTTACTCGCGTCGACTAACCGGCAAAATACCGGCTAAGTGGCGCATTTCACGGACGAGAATGTATAAAACACATTTTTAGTCTGTTTTCCAAGGCTGCATGATATATTAAACCCATTTAAAAATCATAATTAAGCATAATTGTGAATTCACAAACGCTACGATTTAATTAAATAATTCCATATGATTTCTTGCTTTTGATACTTTATTTGAACTTATTATTATTGCCTCATTGCTATTATATATGTATTTTAAGTAATTTTAAAGGCTATTGTTCACTTACGTATTTTTATTACAAAAAATTTAATTATAATTATAGGGCATTATGAAATCCGTTTTATTTCCAAATTCAGTTTATTCCATTTTCATTTTTCTATACTCCATTTTAATGGTTAAATGACATTTTATTAATCAAAAAGCCTGTCTAATTAATTGAGTTTTACAGTTTTATCTTTACCAAATTCTGTTTTCCATTATTTGACCTCATATTTCCAGGTTGTCCATGACCATGGGAACCCTGTAGTCATTTCAAAGCAATGTATAATTCAATAAAAGGCATTGGTTTTTATTAGCTCTAACAAAAGATTTTATGGCTGTATTGTCTGTTAGAAGGCGTGAAAATATTCTTGCCCTCTTATTAACGAATTATCTGTAATACTTTGATTGCCATGTTTTTGATGCTCTCTTGGCGTTCCCGGGGAAGTTCTAGGATTTTAATTGCCTCAACACCAACCTAGCAAAGGTCATAATTTGACAAACTACTTATTATTTTCTGTCAGCATAGCTAATTATATGTTAAGAGAGGGTCATGTGTTCTGATTGCTCCAGTTACATCATAGAAAAATTAGATCAAGGATGCATGTGTCATTAACCCCTCGAAGACCCACTAAAGCAAAATCGCAACACTTGTTTAAAGAAATCCAGTTATATAATTCCAGTAATATCATTCATTTTAAGGCATCATAAACATGTAATGTAAAGGATCATCAATGCTTATTGTGCAGCTTCTGATCTTCATATATATATATATATATATATATATATATATATATATATATACACACACACATATATAGTTCATATCTTTAAAAAAAAAAAAACTCAAATAGTGCAAAACGTCCAAATCAGTCATTTATGAAGCTCCATCTCTGTTAGGATGCTGCCTGTGAAGGCAGTAGGCTGCAAAGCATCTAGGTTTTGAAACAGACCCACTGAATGTCACAGCTAACTAAAGTCACACAAGGTAGTCATCATCTACTTGACACCATTGCTAATACTTTGAGAACAAAACAATTTGACCTTTTAATTAAATATTTGACTTGTAATATTTGTACATTCTGTAAATTCCAAGCACGTTTTGTGATAAATGAATACACCAAAATAAATGCACTCCATAAATTTAAGTTAAAGCCAAGAACTGTAAATAATTTGTACTTGTACATTTGTACATTAATTACCCCCAACTGGAGTGACATTATGCAGGTTTCGGGTGTTCCAAAATATAAAATATGCTTAAATATTATCTTTTTTTTTTATTTTTAAATCTAATAAAATACATGTCAAATTTTCAGTAAGGTAAAAGTAGCCAAGGAACATTCGAGATCTTGTACAAACCTGACTCGTCGAAACTGATTATTTCCGACGTTTCTTCTTGCACCTCGTTGTGGGCAGCATGTCCATCCAAGTTGGGAATTTCAACCCTCCCGTCCTCCCGAACTTTACCCGCGTGAAGCTTGCGCAGCGCCGTTACCATGGCAGCTTTGGGAATGGGATGAGTGATATTTGGTTTACCGCTGGATCTTGTACGTGACACGTAACAACCATCTCACATCAACTTTTTTTTTTTTATTGTGAAAATACAAGACTTCATAATGCAACAGAAATCCGTTTCCTCCAAAAACAGAACAAAACATTTTAACATAATATAAATTGCCAGTACATGTTGTTTTCACGTCAATTTACACATCGAGTTATTATTATTATTATTATTAACTAACAAAGCAAAACCTTTATGGTTTAATGTGAATCATATAGTCAGTCATTTCAGATTAATTTCTGTAATATTTAATTAAATAATGCAGACGGTTTTAAGACGAGTTTTGAGAAATTCACTCAAGTGATGCATTACTTATTAAAGCATTTGAGTACAGCTATCCTGAAACAATGTGAAGGCTGGAAAATTAAATGTGTTCTGCCAGCAATATACATGGATCTAACAAAACACACACAAAGCAAATTACAAAATGTGACAATGTTTGGATTGATTCCTAGCATGTAATAAAATTCACATGAGCTGTTTTGACCGGTATTTCACACTTAGTGAAGACTCTTTAATATAAAATTGGGATACATAGTAAAATCATGTTAACCAGCTTATACAGTATTAAGTGCAACTCTTACAGAAACAAATGACATATTCTGTGGACGATAAAAGCCCTAATTGGTGCTTTTCAGAGTGAATGTGGTTTCTCAGAGTCAAGGTAATAATTACAGACAGTGTAAAAACTTTGTACATTACTGAATTCAATTGTTCTCCCACTGGATATTAGTAGTGTTGCTAAGGCCCATTAATTTCTCACAGAGAAAGTAGTAGAATGCACTAAAAACAACAGATTTATGCCACTGTCATATGCCACACTGAAATCACATGCTGTCCTTGTAGAGGTTTACCGCCCAGGACTAACAGCAAGTCAGGCATATGGAGAAACATGGCATCCTCCGTTTCCTCTGCCAGGTCAACACTATTCCGCTTCTCGCTAATAGCCTCCTGGTTCTCAAAGGTGAGACAGCTTCCTTTCAGCTTTGTGTCTTTCAGTGCAATACTAAAATCTGGTGAATGCTTCTTATTGTCCATGTGGAAAGTCTGGAGCTCAATACAGGGCTCTTGCAAAGTGGGGCGGGATGGTTGGCACTTGTTCTTAAATGGTCTTAGCTTGTTATTGATGTTGTGAGAGTTGGGTATTTCCCTTAAATAGACACTGTTTGGGGCCGTTGGCTGGAAACTCTGACCTAGGCCAATGCTGCAGTGATGGATCCGGCATAGAGACGGGGATTCAGGCAACAATGCTAGCTTCTTCCAAGTTTGTGTTTCCAGGTTGAACCTCCACAAGCTGCTCTGAGGAGAGCTCTGGGTTTCCCCACCACCAAAGATGAGCATGCTGTCCTTAAACAATACAGCAGAGTGACCAACCAGCCTGGGAGGACCTGAACTGCAGAGTAAGGGATCAGAGAAGTGTTAGTGTTTAAGTGCATGTCTGAAAGGGAAAAAAAACAACTATATACCAACATTAAAGGCATAGTTCACTCAAAAATGAAAATATGCTGAAAATGTACCCACCCTCAGGCCATCCAAGATATAGATGAGTTAGTTTCTTCATCAGAACAGATTATGAGAAATCAATTGCTTACCAATGAATGGGTGCTGTCAGAATGAGTGTTGAAACGGCTGATAAAAGCATCACAATAATCCACAAGTATTGTAAGTAATCCACAAACGGTGTATTTGTAAGAAACAAAATCATCTTTAAGATGCTTTTAACTTCAAACCGTTGCTTCTCCATCCATAATATGACTTTCTCCTGTGAAAAAGTCTTATCTGAATCAGGAGAGAAATATGCACAAAACAAGCTCTGTTTACAATCCAAAACAGTTCTAAACAAATATATTAGTAGATTTTGAGAGGACAACAGGGGGTGGACTTTCACTGGGGGAAGCGTCATTATGGATTATGAAATGGTATTTTGGTCAGAAGCGCCTTGATCGATTTATTTCTTACAAACACAAAGCTTTTCGCTTCACAAAACATTAAATAATGGACTGGAGTGGTGTGGATTATTGTGATGCTTTTATCAGCTGTTTGGACTCTCATTCTGATGGCATCCATTTACTGCAGAGGATCCACTGGTGAGTAAGTGATGTAACGATAAATTTCTCAAAAGAGAAGAAACAAACTCATCTTGGATGGCCTGAGGGTGAGTAAATTTTCATTTTTGGATGAACTATTCCATTAAACCATAAGACAGTGCATAATGCTGTAAAGCGACCAACTACAGTTTGTTTTGTTTTTATGTGCCATTTAGGGGTGAGTTAATCAGAAATAGATGATGCTACAATAATAGATAGGCACAGGAAACAACTGTATATAATGGACTGGGGTGGTGTGGATTATTGTGATGCTTTTATCAGCTGTTTGGACTCTCATTCTGATGGCATCCATTCACTGCAGAGGATCCACTGGTGAGTAAGTGATGTAACGATACATTTCTCAAAAGAGAAGAAACAAACTCATCTACATCTTGGATGGCCTGAGGGTGAGTAAATTTTCATTTTTGGATGAACTATTCCATTAAACCATAAGACAGTGCATAATGCTGTAAAGCGACCAACTACAGTTTGTTTTGTTTTTATGTGCCATTTAGGGGTGAGTTAATCAGAAATAGATGATGCTACAATAATAGATAGGCACAGGAAACAACTGTATGAAGAAATATGCGTAGACTTTAGCCTTGTTCAGACTGTCAGTCCAAATCCTCAAATCCTAAATCATATTTAGCAAGTCTGAACAGCAAACAATTAAGTGAAATCTGATTTCTACAAATCCATTTCAAGCCACATTCATGGACATTCAGCAGCATGGAATGAAGCCGCGCATTCCAGCTTCCTACATTTCTGCTGCTGCCTCATAAGATGCAATATAATCCAGTGTGACGGCAACGTTGTTACGATGTAAGACAACATCTGTAAACTGTATTGCTGTTGTTGTTTTTAGGCATACCAACACAACGTCATTGCCATAGAAACCAATGCAGATAGTCAGTAAAACGAAAAAGCACCACAGACATACAAATCGGATCGGAATAGATGCGATACACAGTGTGGACAGTCAAACATTTCAATCAGATTCCAATCGGATATGCACAAAAATCGGATTTGGATTGACAGTCTGAACAAGGCTTTTGTGATCTGTCCAAAAAAAATTTTAATACAGAGTTAAGTGGAATATTCTGTTCTGCTTGGGAACATGCTTCCTACTAATTATGTCAAACAAAACTCAGAAATATCTTTTAAAGATTAAGCTATAAACTTTACTAAATTGGGCCAAATCTATTGATTATTTGTATGGCAATCAGGGTTTATGGTATGGATAGATAGATGTTAATAAAGAAACTCACTGGAATTTGATGCAACTCCAGGTTTGACTGGCAGAACTCCAGATCCACAGGTCCTTCTGTTCCCTCAGGCCCTGCAGGCCACCATAAAGGTACATAGAGTCCTGGTATGTCATAGCTGAGTGACCATGTCTGGGACCAGGCCCACCTTGTACACTGCTTAGGAGCGACCACACCCTAGAATCTAAAATATCATTATTTGGCAAGGTCATTCAGCAATTTGTAAATTACAGAAATCATACCTGACTTTTCAAATAAATATTTAGTCTTAGAAGATGCTCGCTTACTAAAAAACTTAAATCCCATGGAATGTGATAACACTCACCAAAATCAAATTTCCAGAATTCCTTTGTTGATCCTCTTATATCAATGTATCCACCGTAGACATACATAGATGACCCAAAGATAACAGCACTGTGCCCTTTTCTGTTTGCTAGTGTCACTCCCTACAATAACAGTTCACTATAATAAAAGAATCATCTGTTTCAGCTGTAGGTCTTGTAAAAAAAAAAAAAAAAAAAGATGTTTACCTGTAAAGTGTCACTCCCTGTTTTCCAGTTAATCCAGCACTCTTTAACTGCAAAGAATATAAAACTGAAGACGTGAATGACAAAGTGGCATATTACTGTGTGGTAAAACACAATCTGCATTCATAAAGCACAAGTGCTGCTGTCAATAAAACAAGACATTTGCCAAAACAAATGATACAAAAATTAAGAAAGTTATATATTTTTTTCTATTCAATTTTTAAAAAAAAAAGTTTTTAACTTAAATTCCATGCATGTAATTTATAATAAAAATTAAAGTACATAAAACTTTTTGTTGAAGCATTGTCTAGTGGACAGACATTTTGGACCCCCACTGAACATGCACTGAATAAAAAATACCTGTATCAAATACCCAAAGAGGTGTTTTTGAGTTAGTATATGATGAGTCTTGCATTCCTCCGAAGACATACATAAATCCCTAAGAAGAAAAATGGTAAATTAATTTACTTTTTGGTGCAAAAAATTTACTAAAGTTATATGTGGAAATAATTATCATTATAAAAAAACTTATATATAACCCTCTTAAGGAACATACTATATATAAATATATATTGGGGCAATCATGGCCTAATGGTTAGAGAGTCGGACTTGTAACCCAAAGGTTGCGGGTTCCAGTCTCTGTACCAGCAGGGGGGAGTGAATGTACAGTGCTCTCTTCCACCTTCAATACCAAAAGGTTGAGCAATGCACCGACCCCTCCAACTGCTCCCCATTTTTGCCACAGCAAAAATGGCTGCCCACTGCTCTGGGTGTGTGCTCACGTTGTGCGTGTTTGTTCACTACTCACTGCTGTGTGTGTGCACATGGATGGGTTAAATGCGTAACTGGTGAACGCCTTATGATCAATTGTGAGTTTGTTGCAATTACCTGATATGCTACCATTGTGTGCTCTTCCAGTTCTTCAGGTGCTTCTTCGCTATCATAGGGAAGCTCGGCCCACTTGTCACAGACTACAAACATATAAATTTCCCCTTAATTGTAATCAATCAATGCAACAGGAACCAATAACAAGCACAAGTATCCAAAGCAGCAGGTAGCCGCAGATAAATAACAATGACTTACCCACATTATATTTCCAGAAATCTCTGAGTGAGCATTTTTCTCTGCCTCCTAGTACGTAAACATGGCCTCTGTAGGCACAAGACGCATGCTTGTAACGATCACATGGTGCGGGGCAGTGCTGAGGCACTGAGGTCCACAAACAAGCACCTCTCCTCTGGTTCATGCTCAGGCTCTGAGAGTCTCATGGGTTAATCTCTGTGAAGAAAAGCAAGCATGAAATACATAGGGACTACTAATGAAGACCGGTTAACAATAATAGTACAGAAACAGCAGTACAAGAATATTGCGATGAAAGGAATTTTTATTATGGAGTTTAGTAATACATTAGATAAGAGTTGAGCAAATATTTGACCAGAAAACAAGTATTTCTAGTAAGCAACACTACAGATTTTGGACCATATAATATAATTAAAATAGCTTTTATACAGTTCAATACAAAAGTTATTACGGAAAAACTTACATTTAGACACAATATTGCTATCTTGTCTATTTCGTCCACGGTTTGTGAAGACAGTAGGCCTAGCACAAATCCGTGAATGAATGTTCCAAAGTGAAATAAACTTCAACGGAATAAAGTTGAATGGAATTGAATTGAAGTAAAGTTGAATAAACTTCAACTTTACTGTTCAGTGCACTGATGTCAGACTCATTTTGGATAATAAAGTTTATTGTTAAATTGTTAAATGCCCTGCCTCCATCATTACATATCTTTGTCACATACATTATGTGGAAAATAATGTGTTTTTTAAATCTTAAACCGCATAAACACATTGCATTACACCAAATACACAACATAATGTTCTTTTTAGCAACGTCATATGACCCCTTTAAGGAGGTCGTCTTCCTGGAGTTAAATGTGACAATTTGTCATGAACTTGTACACTCCGTGACAAGAAGGGTCAGAGCAGTATACTTGAAATTAAGGAGGATATTATACATTTGTTAAATTAAATCTAGGGTGTAGATATTCCTGCAATCCTTCATTTAAACAAAATTGGCTAATTTATTTATTTTACTCAGTTTTTATTAAGTATATGTTTAATACATTTCAATTGTGCCATCTTTTCCATTTGTATTAGTAATTATTAAGAAAATACATCTTTTGTATTTATTATGTTGTGCACTGTATTTACACACACACACACAAAGAATATTTGTTTACTTGGACGCAGATGTTATTTCCTGTTGTTTACAGACACCAAAAAAGTTTACCTGTAGTATACAGTATTACTGTTGAAATTTGAATGTGTTTGGTTATGGTTTGATATCTTTATGACATTTCTTAATTGTTTTTTTTTTTTTAAACAAATGTGAACTGTTTTGAAAATAAATCCCTTCCAACACGTCACAAATCACAAACATAACACAAGCAATATGGGATGTTAGGTGACATTTAATGAGGGATTCATCGTATTTAGTCAACATTTAGTAATTTAGTTAACAATTTTACATACACAGTAAAGCAAGAATAGAATACCCTTTGTCGACATACTTTTTCGTTTTTTACTTTTATTTTTATGTTGTTCACCACCGAGATTTTTAACATACATAAACTTTTATCTAGCCTAAGCCCGTTATACTACATCTAACGTTACTATCATTCGCATTTGTAACGGGCATATTAATGTAACTAAGAAAAACGGTTACCAAATCGCTTTACAGTGGTCGCTGAGTATTTACTTGCAGCATACGAAGTTTATATGTGACTTTTCATGGTAAAGAAAGTCCCGAAAGTGTCACATGACCGCGAGGAAGAGCTGCTTTAAACCTCGATAGCAACGAGTGCTGGATAGCGGTCCTCAAAACAGCATCGCGAGCGTTTGTTATTTTTGCTGATTTTAATATAACTGTTAAGATTGCGTTGTTAGTAAATGTAGTATTAAAGTCCCTTACCGCTCAAAATCGTCGTTGAACGTCTGCCCTCCCTTGATCTTCATTGAAAAGATAAGCGATGATGTGAAGTATAGCGGCCAATACCAGTACTCGAGAAGGAGGGGCGAAGAAGGATCTTCTGTGGTTTGCTTTTTTCTCAAGAGGGTCTCTGGCTGTAACTGAACACAACGCATTCCCACTTTTAAAACAAAACTCGCGAGCACAGAACACTAACATTTATATTATAGGCCTATTGTTTATATACTATTTCTCATAGAATTTATTCATTTTGCAGATGCTTTTATCCGAAGCTGCGTAAAAATTAGAACTTTTTGTGAAAACATTCAATATGGTTATCAACGCTTATTTAAGAGGAAAAAATGATTGATTGAGAGAGAATAAGGCTACTTTAAGGCCTTATGTTTACTGTTTCTGTTTGCTGTAATCTCTGAAGCAGCCACAATATTGTTTTCTAGAATTTTCTGCGATTTAGTCACAGCCCATGTGTGAGCTCAAGCCTTTGAAAATAACATTCTAATGTTTATTAAACTGTTATCATTTTTCATACACAATTACTGAATCGCATTCAGCTTCTGGAATATTTACTGTATAGCTGAATTTTTATTGGCACCTAATGAGATAATTCACTGATGTTTAAGTGCTGCAGTGCCTACATCGCCGAAGTAGCTATTAAGTTTGACATTGTGCTCAGTGAACTTTATGATGTCCATTTTCCAAACACCCTGAGGGATTTTTCAAAATAGCAAGTTACTTTAACCACCAACCTGAAGGAAGTACTACTAAACTTATCACATATCTTTGGCCCTACAAGAAGAAACAGTGTTTTAGATTACGTTTATGGTTTAGGTTATGTCTACACCAAAGCAGAATACATATACAGTCTTCCTACTGAGTTTTGTCCAATTTTTGTTTACTTGTACACCAGCCACTCTAGAAATGAAAGAAATTGCTTACTAGTCAGAATATTTACAAACATGTTGAAACCTGCCATGTGTGAGGGCTTAGATGAGTATGTGCCATTTCATTAAGAATAGTGTTGTTGCAACACAACAGGACTTGGCTAAATACAGACATTTACTTATGATGCCTATACAGAGCCACTCCACTGTGGATGATTAAGAGGGTCATCCACCTGGCCCTCTCACCTTTTTCATAATTAAGACACTTATGTCCAGTGCTTAATTTGTAAATTGCGAGGTCCCGGAACAAAGCGGGGAAACGGATCCGGCATGTGATTAGAGGAGGGAGCCTAACGGAGCATTTGCGCAATGGAGGACCAGCTTACGTGATTAACAGCGTGCATCTTCTTACGGTCATGAAAAAACGTGAAAAGTCGAGAAATTTTAAAACCGCAATTCCCAGGCCTGGAAAAGTCATGGAATTTTTTCCCTCAAATCTCTAAATAGAATTATGTTTAATCAGCTTTCGAGTTAATAATGAGGGAAATTCCTGCAAACATTTATTCATGTAGGTTAGATGAGTAAATAAATCCACACAAACTATCAGATTAAATCAGTCATTTGAAAACAGCGTGAGTGATTCAGATGTACCGCGTCTTCTCTCACTCACTGTCAAAGCGGCTTCACGACAGCGCATCTCGACTGCACGACTGCACGCTGCGATACAAGATTTTCGCTCAGATTTCGGGACAGTCGACAGAATTCGAGTCATTGTTGCATCGTCACAAAACGGTATCATTTGCACATCTTTTTAAGTTTAAGCCATTCCATACTGCGTGCTCCAAAGGGGGTTAGTCTCCATGAGCACACCTGCATACTCTCACAACACTAAAGCTCCTCAAACAGTGTTTTTAGCCCTTAATTACATGTGACAACATATGAGAGGTTTTGAGAGACCTTAGGTTGTGCTGCAGAGCCAACAATTTCATTAAACAAAATAAATTATTGTTGACTTTAGGAAGTCATCTGTAACCCCATAAACATTATATCATCTCAGTTCTGTTGCTTTTATATGAAAATAAATATGATGAACAAGACACTCAAAGTGCTTGCTATTTAATTCCATACGAAAGGCGTATTTATCATCCATTTTTACCTTTTTACAAACATGTAGTTTACATTTTTATAGAAATATTAAGACAATCACATATCTCACACAGAGATCGCACTGTCATAGTGTTTGGGAATATTCACGCATAATTTAAATACATAATCACATGAAATCAGATAAATTTTTTTTTTACATTTTAGACGAGAACGCAGCATCAGAGTTGTCTGAACCAATGAGCATTAAGCTGTGTCCATCATGCTTTTGATCAGCAGCAGTCAGTGGAGAGCAACTGCGCCAAAGAGTAGGCCTATAGAAAATTAAGAAGATTTTATAGTCTCAAGCACTCAGAAATCTCGCAAAAGAAAATTAAGCAGTTTTACTACGATAAAACCATGGTTAATTTTTGTAAGGGTTGTTTTGTCCACATGATTTTGTTGAAGAAATATAGAGGCTGTAGCATTTCTATCACAAGAAGGTGGCCAAAAATTAAAGATTAAGTGGATATTTGAATTAGCAAATGTTTGGTCAAACAAGGACTTGATCGTCCTGTAAGTGTAACAGCAGCAGTCACCAGGCCTTTGGCGCCCTTTACAGGCATTTGTAATAATATGTAATGTACATAAATTGTTTATTTTGTATTACATTATGTACTTTAACAGTGTTATTCAATGAAACCATATAATTATTAATTAACCAATCATTATTGCCTCATTGTTTTTATATAATGCATTTTAAAGGCTGTTGTTGGCTTAGGTCTGTTTTTATAACCACAAAAATATATATATTGTCCTAATACTTAGCCTATTTGTAAACTATTATTTGAAGTAAAACCATGGTTAATTTGTGCTTACCATAGCTAAAAGAACCATGATTTTTGGGTTTATTCATAGTAAAACCATGGATAATTTTCGTAAGGGAACATGGAAACTCAGAAAGAATATTAGATGCATTGTTGGTGGTTAAATTATTACCGACATTAAAACACGTTAGGCTATTAACGTCAACAGCCAAAAAGTTTTACAGGATTATGAATGTACCTGAAAGTGATGCACGGGCTTTTTAGGCTTTGAAAATGAGTGAAAATGGTTTATTATTCATGCAACAATGCATATTACTGTTATAGTTTTTATTAATAAACTTTAATAGGCCTATTACCGGTAATAAAGAACGAAAGTTTTTTAAAAAATTTTTAGCAACTGGGATGGTGCCCCTCTGGGAGTTGGTGCCCTACGCAACTGCGTACACTGCGTATAGGGAGCGGCGGTACGGTGTGTCAGCATACCATTTAATCTATCTCAGCCATCTCTGTCATTAACAGTGGTTAAATAAACAATGACAACTTAATACACGATAAAATTTTTCATAACATTTTAATAACTAATTTAAGATACAACACTTTTTTTTTCTTACACAGGTCTTTATAAATGAAAACATCTGCCTTTACATTGTAGGAAGGAGTATTTTTTCCTTTAAAGTCATAACATTGACAATATACTCTAAACATTACATAAAATATTTATGGCCGGTATCTCCAGGAGCATACCATATGATCAGTTCATAACATCATATCCCGTTCATCCCTCACCCAGAGGGCGGAGTCTACGGGTAGCGACATCATATCCTGTTCATTTGCATGTCCTGAGGTGGGGTATATGGCAGCAACGACAGCTTCAGAGAACTACAGGGTGTATGATTAGGACCAGGCGATTAATGCATTCCACAAGATAGCATAAGAGACTGTGGAGGATAAAGTCACCGAGAGGTAACTTAATGTGTCTTTATTTATGTCCCTATTTATTCATTCTTTTGTTTGTTTTTGAATTTTAGAAACGATCCACTCCAGCCCGAGCTTTTGTTACTGGTCGACAGGCAGTTATTTCAAGTCCCTGTGGGCGTATTTACTCTGTGAAAAATGTCAGTTGAATAAAGCTTAAAACCGTTATAAATTTCCCCCTGTATGGGTTAGTTCGACCCAGCTAACGGCTGATCTCGAGAGACGGGCGTATTTGCGGATGTCGCGCGTGTTTGGTTGATGTGGAGGTTTATTTTCGAAGCCCCAACGTGTACGTTATGTGTATGAATCAGAGATATTAGACACTTTCAGTGAATAAAGTACAGCATGTTTCACTTGAATGGTTTTCCTTTTTAAGCAAATAAAGTGAAATTAGGTGCTTGTTATACTTTAGGAAATACTGTTCATTAACCTCACTGGGTCAATTAAATATTAGCCTGTATGACCTTATTTTCTGTTCAGTTTCTCTAGAGACTGTTAGAAGAACTGGGACATGCCTAAGTGCCATTTAAACACTAAATACACATATAAATTAAACGCGTAATGAAAATAAAATTGTGTTTTTGTTAAAAACATCTAAAAAAAAAAATTCTTAATGAAGCTGTCATTTAGTAGTGGCTTGATGTTTGGGACCAAATATTAGTTTGTAGTTATTGATAGACTTGTATTAAATTAAGTTTGTGTGGAATTAGTTTTTCATTTGAGTTTTATGCTCCTCCTTCAAGGACTTCTGAGCCTTACTTCCTATATTCTCCTAATAAAATGTCATAGTAAATTACATACTGGTAAAAATGGAGCACATGAAGGCACTGTACACTGCTCCTTTTTACCATACATCTCAACTGTTTCCCATTATATTCAGACAATACAATCCAGCTTTGAAATCTTTTTACTTTTACAATCCATTTTAGTTTATATTTAGTAATCCATCTTGTTTTTTGACCAGGTATGTAAAGATGTACTTTTCTATCTCTTTAGTAGTTTGAAATATGGATTCAGATGAAAACACGTTAGGCTATTAACGTCAACAGCCAAAAAGTTTTACAGGATTATGAATGTACCTGAAAGTGATGCACGGGCTTTTTTTCGGTGCCGGATTTCTGATGTCTTTTCACGGGTATAGTTGTCCATAAATTATGATCATTTGCATTCACCCGCAAACATAAGATGCGAGCGGCCGCGGATGCGGGAATGGCGCTTCACGTGTGCTTAGCCTAGCCTACTGCATTCACAGTAAAATGCATTTTTTAAATAATTATATATATATATATATA